CTTCACAGATGCTGCCAGACCTGCTGGGCTTTTCCAGCAAATTTGTTTTTATTCCTGATTTACAGCTTCCACAGTTCTTTCGGTTTTTATCAACTTAATGCACCTTGTTTGATCTGCTTCCAAAGTAAGTATGCTCAAGTACAGAAACAAACGCCATACATTGTTCTCTAGATGCGTCTCGCTAATGTCTTGCCCAGATGTAACAAAGCCTTGGAGGGAGTCTATAGGTTTATAAGAGTAATATCTGGACTTCAGGGTTTAAGCCATGAGGAGAGATTATACAAATTAGGCCTGTTTTCCCAGAATTAAAAGGTTAACGGATGATCTGATCAAAGTCTTTATGATATTAATAGGAAAAGGCAGGGTAGATAAATTATTTCCACTGGTTGGGGATTTTAGAACTAGGGGCTACAGTTTGAGAATTAGGTCCAGACCATTCAGGAGAGATGTTAGGAGGCACTTCTACACACAAAGGGTGGTAGAAGTTTGGAAGTCTCTTCCACAAGTAGCAGTTGATACTAGATCAGTTGTTTAGTTTAAATCTGAGCTAGATAACTATTTTTCTGAAGCAAGGGTATTAAGGGATGTGGGCCAAAGGCAAGTATATAGCGTTAAGCCATAGATCAGCCATGATCCTATCGAAAGGCAGAGCAGGGTTGAAGGTCTGAATAGCCTACTCCTGTTCCTAATATACCGCTAATTTTATGCTTCAACTCCTTTGGAACAAAGGTCAACATTCCATTTTTCTTCCTAATCTCTTGCCTGTTAACATTTTGTGATTCCTGCAGAAGGGCACCCAGCTCCCTCTGTATCTCTGAGTCCTCCAGTCTCTCCATTTTATTAATATTTTGTTTTTCTATTCTTTCTGTCAAGATAGATAACCACAAATTTCTCACATTGTACTCTGTCTGCCAAATTTTTGTCTCTTGTAATATATCTATATTGCTTTGCAGACAATACATGTCCTTCATAAAATTTGCTTTCCTTCCCATCTTTGTATCAAAAGCAAACTTGGCGACGGTTCACTCTGTCCATTCATCCAGTTCAATAGCACGGACCCTGGTGGCACCCCATTGCTTATAATTTGCCAACCTGAGAATGACCCATTTATCCTGGTTCTCTGCTTCCTGCTGGATAACCAGTTCTCTGTCGTGTTAATATATCATCCCAACAACCAGAAGCTGCTATCTCCTTTCATAATGTTTTATATGGCACCTTACCAAAATTATCTTGATGATTATAACTTGTATCACACAGAGCCGATATTTGGTTAGAATCCAGCTACACTTTGTTCTTGCAGATTCTGTACAAAATTAATTGCTAACCACAACCGAGCAGTCCTTACAGCTGGTTGAACTTTAGTATTGCCACCAGTGACTCTGTTACAACACTGTAAAAAAACCGCAACGGGGCATTTCACAGTGAACGATTATCAAACAACATTTGACATTGTGCCACAGTTTAATCTTGTTAAAAAACTTGGTTGCTGGCTGGGCCTTTGTTGCCCATTGTAGTTAAGAACCAACACGTTCCTGTTGGTCTGGAGTCACATGTATGCCAGACTGGGTAAATCCTTCCCTAAAGGACATTAGTGAACCAGGTGGGCTTTTACAACAATTGACACATGGGCAGGCCATTACTCCCAACTTTTATTGACTTCAAATTTGAATCATTGACCGTGGTCTGATATGAGCCATTGTCCTCCAGACTTTGTCTTGGGGTTACAAGCCCAATGCATTAACACTGTACCACAGCCACACCTGCATAAGCTGACTTTAGCTCAGACAAAGAAATGTAGTTGTTAGGGGGTGATTTAGGGAGTGTTCTAATGGAGGAGCTGGGAGGAGAGATGTATGGATGGAATTCCAAGGCTCAGGAGACACGGCCACCAATGCTGAAATATTTAAAACAGTGAATTTCTAAGATGCCAGCATTGGAGAAGTGTGGATTGGAGGAGATTACAGAGATAGGGAGGGTTTTGGGGCCATGGAGGGATTTGAAAGCAAGTGTGAGAATTTTAAAATCAAGGTTCAAGCAGTCCAGGGAATGCAGGTATGGAGAACAGGTTGAAAGAACTTTGTGCCTTAGAGAGGACAGCTGCCCTATCCTTATAAAAACCGAAAGAGCTGCAGATGTTGTCAATCAGAAACGAAAACAGAAATTGCTGGAAAAGCTCAGCAGGTCTGGCAGCTTCACTGCAGAGAAATCAGAGTTAATGTGTCGAGTCCTGTTTTTGTACCCTATCCTTGTCTTCTGAATGGCCTGAATGAGAATCCTGGCCATTGCCTCTTGACTCTATTCTGTCCTCCCCCATAATCACCACCCACAACTGGTCTCCTTCTGCACTGTAATGACCCAATGTGGCTTTTGCCGGCTGGGGCAGCATTTATTGCATTGAGGGCATTTTGACCCAGTGACACTGAAGGAAAGGTGATATATTTCCAAGTTAGGATGGTGAGAGACCTGGAGGGGAAATTGCAAGGGGGTGGTTTTCCCATGTATCTGTTGGTCTTTCTGGATGGATGTGGAGGAGCTGGTGTTGGACTGGCATAGACTAGGTCAGAAATCACACAACACCAGGTTATGATCCAGCAGGTCAATTTGAAAGCACAGGGTTTCGGAGTCTTACTAATACCTGGAGTGGGAGTAAGACTCCAAAAGCTTGTGTTTTCAAATAAACCTATTGGACTATAACCTGGGTTCATGTGATTTTCTGACTTTCTAGATGGAAGTGGATGTGGATGTGTGTTTGGAAGGTGCTGTTGAAACGTCAAACGTGTGAATCTTATCCTCTTTTTCTTTATCCAGGACTCCAGGGATCCCGAAGGAGAAATCAACACAGATAAAAAGTTGAATGAATTAAAATCAAAACAAGACGATGTAACACAAGGCCTATCATTACTCCAGTTTATTAAGAGTAGGTTTCTAAGCAATTTGTACTGGCTTGTTGGGGATGGGATTGTAAAAATCGCATGTTCCCAAAGAAGATTTTCAATCCATTTTTCCATGTGTTCACTCTGGAAGAGAGTTGTCTAATTAATCCCTCAGGAATCTTCACAGGAAGGTGAACAGATAACATTTCATAGAATCATAGAATCCCTACAGTGTGGAAACAGGCCCTTATGCCCAACAAGTCCACATCGACCCTCAGAGCATCCCACCCAGACCCATCCCCCTATAACCCACCTAATCTACACCTCCTGGAATCAAGACCCATTTTTGGGGCTGAATCAGAGAGCGCCCAATCAGAGGCCAGCAACTCTCATGCTCCATAGCGCTTCTGAGGGGGTAGTGGCAACTGTAAGAAATACACCCCCATCCCTGACGCAACACAGAGGCTCAGAATTGCAGAGGGACTGCGGAGGAAGGAAAGTAATGTAGGGTGGTGATTGTATCAGGTGGGAGTCACAGGGTGGGAGAAAGTGGTTTCAGAAGCAAGGCTGGGCGTGGGCAGCTCCAAGCTGGTGCCCATCTGTCCAATGTCCAGTCCATTGATCAGACACTTTGATCGAGGGTAAATCCAGACCCCTGTAGGGTGACCCACTACCTGCTGGGTAATGGCTTTTGGGCACAATGAACAGTGACAGGTCCACAGAGATGGGCAGATGGCCATGTGTTATCTTTAACTGGCCACTGAAGGCCCTCAAGGGGAGAAGGACAATGGGGCTCTCCCACCTGGCAAAGGGTTTACATACACTTACCCTCCCAACCATCCTGCCTAATGAAGTGCCCTTCGGGAAGAAGAAGATTTTCCATGGGATTCCGGAGTTTAGGAATAAGGTAGCTGAAGGCACAGCCACCGATGACAGAATGGTTAAAAAACAGAATTTGTGCAGGAGGCCAGAATTTGCAGAACGCAGAGATTCTGGAGGGTGAGGGGAAACAAGAGTGGCCTGGGCCTCACAGGGATGTAGACATGAAGATGAGAACTTGCAATTGGAGCTGTATCTGCAACAAAAACAAAGTTGCTGGAAAATCTCAGCAGGTCTGGCAGCATCTGTGGAGGAGAAAACAGAGTTAACGTTTTGGGTCCGGTGACTCTTCCTCAGAACTGGCTGGGAAAACGTCAGTTTATATGCAGAAAATAAGGAGGTGGGTGGGGTAGGGAGTAAAAGATAAGATAGAGCCCAAAGAGAGAGAAAGACAGTTGGACAGACAAAGGAGTTGCTAACGATCAGGCTGGGAGGGTGAATAGTTGTTAATGGGGACTGTTAGCGACTAACAACAGGGGGTGTGTGGTGGCAGGCTATGTGGTAACAAGGCCTGGTGTGTGGGCTGGGGGGCTGGGACATGGGAGAGTTTAGGCCCTAGGAGCTGTATCTGCATCAGGAAGCAGGGCAGGTCAGCAAGTGGGCACTATTGGCATCTGTTCAATCAGATAATGCCAGGCTTCCTGCCCCTGTTCCCAGCAAGATATCAGTGACAACTTCAGACAAGGTGCCGCAAGCCCAAAGGAGCTGCCAAAACAAGACAAGCCTGCCCACAGGAGGACAAGCAGTCACAGGGGATTCATTCCTGAAGTCAAAATGCAAAAGATTCCTTCATTTGAGGAGGGAACGATAAAGCCCTAAGGCAAGATCTAAGAAGTGGTCAGAGATTGTTGTGTTTCTCAGGGTAAGATATTCACCCCTGGAATAACTGAGGTGTATGTTTGTTTTATCTGGCGAGTTTAGCATTACAATGGAATAGAATGAGGCTATTCAGCCCCTAGCTTAGGAGATGGGTGGGGGTGTTGGACAAGTTTTTTTATTCATTCATGGGATGTGGGCATCACTGACTAGGCCAGCATTTATTGCCCATCCCTAATTGTCCGGAGGGCAGCTAAGAGTCAACCACATTGCTGTGGGTCTGGAGTCACATGTAGGCCAGACCAGATAGGGTTGGCAGTTTCCTTCCCTAAAGGACAATGGTGAATGATATTTCTGTTTCCTGACAATTGATTCACGGTCAACATTAGATTCATAGAGTCCTTACATGTAAGCAGACCATTCGGCCCATCGAGTCCACACCCACCCTCCGAAGAGCATACCACGTAAATGCACCCCCCCACCCTATCCCTATAAGCCTGCGTTTCCCATGGCTAACCCACCTAGCCTGCACATCCTTGGATACTATGAGCAATTTAGCGCGGCCAATCCACCTAACCTGTACATCTTTGGACTGTGGGAGGAAACTGGAGGAAACCAACGCAGACACGGGGAGAATGTGCAAACTCCAGACAGACCGCCCGAGCTCTACCCGAGGCTGGAACTGAACCCGCATCCCTGGCACTGTGAGGCAGCAGTACTAACCTCTGAGCCACCATGCTACCCAATTAGATTAGATTCGTAATTCCAAATTTTGAATGAATTCAAATTCCACCATCTTCCTTATCAAGATTCAAACCCAGGTCCCCAGAACATTACCTGGCTCTCTGGATTAATATTCTAGTGATAATGCCACAAGGCCGTCACCTCCCTTTATCTTTGATGGTGGCAATGTTGTTGATATCTATTTCAAAATGCATTCCCAGGACATGTGTGTTGCTTGCTGGGCCAGCATTTATTTCCCATGCGTAATCCTGCTTGGGAAGGTGTTGGTATTCTGCCTTGTTACATTCAACCTGGAATATTCCCTTGCACTTAACTGACGTCCATAATTTCAAGTGTCATTCCTGATAAGCTATGTTCCTTCTAATTTTTTGTATTGACTGTGCGGGTCTTCAGAACTTCCAGAAATGGAAGCCAGTGGCTGCAATCAGCTTGACAGCACCAATCAGTGTGCACTGAACATCAGAGCAGAGGGAGTATTGCTGATAAAGCTTCTCTGGTAAACCCAGACTTCCTTCTTAAAGTCCACACAATGCTCCATATGTGACCATCCAGGAGATTCGTCAATGTTTACAGTGACCTCTTTGTACCTTAGTTATTTAAATCAACCTACTCCAACAGGTCGACTATGACATAATGCTGGGGTAATTGGGACATGAACCTGGGCCTTCTAGCTCAAAGGTAGGGACACTACCACCGTGGTGCAAGAATCCCCTTCCTTGTTTATAGGTAATCTGCTTTACCACGTTTAGAGATGTTATGACACACCTCTGGAGCAAATGGGACTTGAACCTGGGTCTCCTAGTTTATATGTAGGGACCCTATCGCTGTGCCACAAGAATCCCCTTCCTTGTTTGTATAAATAATTTTTAATCAACCTGTTCAGTGTCTGTCAGTGTCTCTTCATCACTGAAATGCTCCATCCCAGGCAACATCCTGGTGAATATCCCCTGCACCCCCTCCAGTGTAATCATAGTGCGGTGACCAGAACTGCACACAGTTCTGTGGCCTAATTAACATCATATACAGGTCCACCATGAAATCCTTGCTCTTGTATTCAATGTCTTGACTAATAAAACCAAGAATCCCATATGCCTCTTAGCCACCTTATCTCCCTGTCCTGCTGCCTTCGAGGATTAATGGATATGCGCACCAAGTTCCCTCTGATCCTCTGTACTTCCCAAGGCCCTTATCATTCAAAATGTACTCCCCTTACCTTGTTAGTCCTCCCAAAATGCATCGCCTCACAGTTTTGCTGATTGTGCTGTTTGCTTTTTTTCTCCCTCAGGTTTTCCATGTATCTTGCTGAGGACTTTGAGGAGCACAGTTTACCTCCTCGTTGTATTCGCTCAGGTCTGTATGTCGGCTCTGATGTCCGGATTAACTGTCTTCATTGGCAAGTTTCTGGAACAACAGTTCACTGTGACGGCCTCGTTTGCAAATTTACTGATTGGTGAGAAACGCGAGTAAAAAGTCGAATCTTGCTGAAGTTCAGTTGAGATCACTTTGAGATCTGGTTTTCGGATGTTCCAATGTTGGCAAGGACAGCGTGGTGCAAAGGGATGGGCACAATGCTTTCACAAACACTCGGCCTTCACCCAACTGAATCACTCAAATCTCATCGTTTAGTCAGGGATGGGAAATCAGATTAATTGTCCGGTAAACTTCCCAAGGATTGAATTAAATTGAGAGTAGGATAACTTTTTTTTATTTGGTTGTGGGACGTGGGCATCACTGGATTTCCCGTCCCTATTTACCCCTTGAAAAGGTGTTAGTGAGCTGCCTTCTTGAACCGCTGCAGTCCATGTGCTGCAGGTAAACCCACAATGCCCTTAGGGAGGGAATTCCAGGATTCTGACCCAGCATCAGTGAAGGAACGTCGATAAATTTCCAAGTCAGGATTGTGAATGGCTTGGAGAGGAACTTGCAAGGGGTGGTGTTCCCATGTATCTGCTGCCTTTCTCCTTCTAGATGGAAGTGGTTGTGGGTTTGGAAGGTGCTGTCAAAGGATATTTGGTGAATTTCTGCAGTGCATCTTGTAAATGGTACACACTGCTGCTACTGAGTGTCATGGAGGAGGAAGTGGGCGTTTGTGGATGTGGTGTCAATCAAGCAGGCTGTTTTGTCTTGGATGGTATCGAACTTCTTGAATGTTGTTGGAGCAGCACACATCCAGGCAAGTGGGGGGTTTTTCATCACACTCCTGACTTGCACCTTGTAGATAATGGACGGGCTTTAGGGAGTCAGGAGGGGAGTTACTTGCTGCAGGATTCCCAGCCTCTGACCCGTTCTTGTAGCCATAGTGTTTATGTGGTGAGTCCAGGTGAGTTTCTGGTCAATGGTAACTCCCAGGATGTTGATAGTGGGAGATTCAGTGATGGTAACGCCATGGAATGACAAGGGGTGGGGTTAGATTGTCGCTTATTGAAGACGGTCATAGCCTGGCATTTGTGTGGCACAAATGTTCATGTCCAGGAACCTTCCAACCATAGGTGTCAACAGTTTCAATAAAGCGTGGCTTCAAGCCCCACTCCAGAGACATAAGCAGAGAATTTTTATTTTCTATTCATTCATAGGCCATGGATGTTGCTGGCTGGCACAGCATTATTGCCCATCCCTAATTGCCCCTTGATAAGGTGGTAGTGAGCTGCCTTCTTCAACCACTGCAGCCCATGTGCTGTAGGTAGACTTTGTAGTGATTGTTGCAACTGAATGTATAATTAGACAGTTAAGAGTCAATCATATTGCTGTAAATTTGGATTATAAGCAAGAGTGGGTTAATGATAGACTCATAGAGATCTTTAGCACAGAAAAAGGTCTTTTGGTCCATCAAGTCTACCCTGGTCAAAAACACCTACCTAAAAATTCTAACGCCATTTTCCAGCCTTGGTATCACAATTGCACATTTAAATAATGCCAAATTCCCTTCCCTAAAGGACATTAATGAATCAGATGGGTTTTCTAAAAATCGACAGTGGTTCCACGGTCATCTTAGACTCTTAATTCCAGATTGATTGTTTTGTTGACTCAACTCAAATTCCACCGTCAGTCACTGCAGGATTTGAACCCAGGTCCCCAGAACATTATCTGGGTCATTGGATTAATAGTCTAGCATAACATCACTTGGCCATTGCTTCCCCCTTAATTTCAGGCTGGCACTGATGGTGCCAGTTCTGGTGGAGTGCTACACTCTCAGAGGTGCCTTTCTCCTTGTGAGTTGTTGAGCAGAGTCATAAAATTAGAATTAAAATGAGCTTTATTGTCACATGTAGTCAAATGAGTACAGTGAAAAATTTACAAGTCACCGCTTCTGGTGCTATCTTAGGTACAAAGGCTCCTAGCTATAGCTCCCTAGAATTATACAGCATGGAGACAGACCCTTCAGCCCAAGTCATCCATGCAGACCATGTTTCCTAAACTGAACTAGTCCCAATTGTCATTTCTGAGGAAGGGTCACAGGACCCGAAGTGTTAACTCTGATTTTTCCTTCGCAGATGCTGCCAGACCTGCTGAGTTTTTCCAGCAACTTCTGTTTTTGTTCCCCATTGCCTGCATTTGGCCCATATCCCTCTAAACCCTTCCTATTCTTGTACCTAGTCAAATGTCTTTTAATGTTATAATAGTACTTTCCTCTACCGTTTCCTCTGATAGCTCATTCCATGCACGCACCATCCTCTGTGTGAAAAAGTTGCCCCTCAGGCTCTTTTTAAATCTTTCCCCTCTCACCTGTGCCCTTTTGTTTTGGACTCCCCCACCCTGGGGAAAATACCTTGGCTATTCACCTTATCTATCTCCCTCATGATTTAAAAATCTCTATAAGGTCACCCCTCAGTGTCCTACGCTTCAGGGAAGAAAGTCCCATCCTATCCAGCCTCTCCTTATAACTCAAACTCTCCAGCCTCGGTAACATCCTCGTAAATCTTTATTGCACCCTGACCAGTTTAATAACATCCTCCTATAACAAGGTGACCATTGGCCCCATCTGTCCTATAATGTGGTGATACGAGGTCCCATCCCATTATATTAGTGAGGAGCAGAGGCACTGTGCCAGGCCACATGGCTGTTGGTGGGAGCTTGCTGTGCACAAATTGGCTGCTGTTGTTCCTATATGATTGCAGTTAGGACCAAATTAGAGGCCCCACCTCAATCCCTTTGAGACTGTCATTTCTAATGCATGATCCTGATACTAGCCCATACCAACGTTTGCCTTGGTGCTATCCTTTGTTTGTCTGCTACCTGGTGCCAATTAGTTTGGTTTGTCCATTTTAACTCTTCCATTTCCTCTTATTCAAGGAAGCATCCATGTTCCTGGAGCAGTTCTTGGCATCATACTAGGTGGGGCCATCATGAGGAGGTTCCAAATCAATTTGAGGGGCTCAGCCATCATGTGCTTTGCTGCCATCTTTGCCTCCATTTGTGCAACTACACCGCTCCTGTTCCTCGGCTGTTCAACGCAAGTAGTTGCTGGAATAAATGACAACCTCCATACCTCGAACAGGTAAATGCACACTTCGCACTGAAATGTTCCTCCCTAAAGATGATTCCCGAATGTTTGCTGACTAATGTCTGCCTCTACTGTTTTCAGCACAGAGAAAATTAGGAGTTTTATTTTTAATTTTCATCTCTCGCTGGACGTGGGTATCGCTGGCAAGGCGACTCAAACTGAGCAGCTCACTCAGCCATTTTGGGAACTTTACAGAATTTTGCCCCAGTGACGACAACGTCGTTCTGGTTTGGAAAGATGCTGGAATTGGGTGTAGCAGGTCCATCGACGAGTGACATAGAAAGGAGGAGAAAAGAGGCTTTCAAAAAACATGAGGGGCCTAGATAGAGCTGATGGGAAGAAACCTGTACCCATTGGTGCAAGGATCAAGACCCAGACGGCATTAATTGGAGGTGATTGGCCAAAGAAGCAATGGTGACATGAAAAGGAACAATTTCAAGAAGTGACTTTTTAGGGTCTAGAATGTACTGTCTGAGAGTGTGGGGGAGGTAGGTTCACTCGAGGGGTTAGGGTCTAGAATGTACTGTCTGAGAGTGTGGGGGAGGTAAGTTCACTCGAGGGTTTAGGGTCTGGAATGTGCTGTCTGAGAGTGTGGGGGAGGCAGGTTCACTCGAGGGGTTAGGGTC